GAATTGCGTTATTCAAATTCGCAGCCCTCGACGCTATTTTTCCGACACGCCTCGCGAAAGCGCGAGGAAAGGGACGAGAGACACGAGGACATGGCAGATCGGGGCGCGCGAAATCCACCAAATTACAGGCAGTAGTCTGCGAGAGAGCGGACTCGACGACTTCTCGCATTTTTATCGCTATCGACGATCGCATTAAGGATGGCAGGGGGTTCAGGCGACGGTGTGCGCCGGGGGAGGAATTAGCGTCGGTGAATCGCACGACAAAACGGATGCGCGCGGAATATAATGAGGCTCCGCGTCGAGGCGGATACGACAAACGAAAGAGAGATTAAATACACGTCTCTGAAACTCTCTCTCTGTCTCTCTCTCTTAGGGAAGGAGAAAAGAGGAGAAATGCCGTTTGCGAAATCAGTGCGTGCGCATACTGGAGACAGTACATATCTCAGCAGCACGCAAGTGTGCGGGAAAAGCGGACTGTAGATACGCGCGTGGACACCGCGAATGTTTCATTTTCTCGGGATTAAGTAACCGCCGTGGCCGTTACGTGCATGCGCTCGCCGCTATTAACGATTTAATTAGCGTAAGTTTTCATCTCCCGGATTACGGTCAGAATAGTAGTGCGCCGGTCGGAGGGGTGCAACGGGGATACGGTCAGCGTCGGGAACGGGGGATACAGGGAGGGTACGAGAAGGAGAGCGCGCGGCGCCCGTTTTTCACCGAGGCAGCCGGCTTATTATTGCGTTTTCGCGGATTACGTTCCCGGGCTCGTGGCAATTTGCCGCTTGCGTGTAACGTAACGAGTTGAGAAGAGTGTCATTAATTTCGCGCGGCTCAAGGATCCCGAAGAAAACCACTGCGGGCTGCAACCGTGCGAAATCGCCGTTGAAGATGGTCAAACAAAACGTCGTAATTTAATGCTCGTTGCGAAAGCGTCTGTTTCGAGTTGAATATTTGCGCGCTGATACCTTGCTTTCATTCTCCCGAAAACTGTAAATCGATGTTAAGGAGGTTGTAAGGGCATAAAACACATATATTAATATTTTC